GTATAACATTATAACATGATGTAAAACTCAAAAAAGTTGATTTTACATGATATTGCCCCTTTAAGACAAACTAGATCAAGTACTACTAAAGCTAATACTAGTAGAATAATATATGTAATAGTACTTCAAGATTGAGTAGTAATAAATAAATAAGTATTAGTGTAGTGTATTTACTTGTACTAATAATAGTATTAGTAATAGATAGTAGTTGTGCTAATACTACTAGTAATAATAAAAAAAATCAAGTAGGTCCTCTGGACGGTTCTACTTTAAAGAAACATTTTGTCTCTCCTCCAAGAGACTTCTTCAGTCTGAGGAGGTTCAGGTGAACTCAGACTTAATAGTGCCTCCACATGCAGGACAAACAGGTTACCAACAACAATCGAAACTCTTTGTCCACACGCAAATGAGGACCATCAGCCTAACAACTGATCATTGGTGCCATGATTATCCCTGTTGTTCTCAGAGGGCTGTGTCRTAATGGCAATAACAGCATTGTAAGAAGGGGACAAATGGACACAGAGGCCTCCACATCTGTTTAATGACCTCYGTAATGCTTACCWGTAACTCCTCAGACTGAGGAGTCTCCTGGAGGAGAGACAAAACCCGTCCAGAGGACTACAGTACTTAACCTCTTTTTAATTTTTCTACCTGGATTACTGAGATGCATCAGGATACTAGTGGTAAYGTTATTACTTTTAGTACTAGAATAAAACAAGTACTGCTAGTAATATACTACAAATATAGTACTAAAAGTATACTTGTACTAGAACTAATAAAATACTAGTATTGTAGTACTGATACAAATATAATACTTGTACTAGTATTTCTAGTAGTAGTACTGCTACATACAACTATAATTGTTTTAGTAGTACAGTGTAAGCACTAGTACCACTACTTGGAGACATGGGATGGGGGTGCGTGGTTACACTGTGTGGTCACTGAGGGGAGTGCCAGATGTTTTGTGGAGCTTCTTCTCAGATTTTCATATTTTAAAGGGYCTGTGACATCAGATTTTTGTAATAAACATGAAAGCATTTTTGGAAAGATAACACTGATAACATGTTGCAAAACAWATTTTATGCCACTGAGATGAACAGTTGTTGAGATATTTGCATGTGAAGAAACAGGAAGTGATGTCAAAGGGGAATGTCTGCATGAAAACAGAGCATTGTGACAAAAGCTAACAGCACAGACTGTAGAGAAGAACATGATGCTTCTTTAGGTTATTTTGAGTCTCTAGCAAAGAGAGACGAAGAAGAGTTCAAGTCCAAATAATGTTGTTTTACTAAACAAAGACCAGAGAGTTTATTTGATTAATGAGTTCCCCTTTGATGTCACTTCCTGTTTCACTTTGGTTGAGCCAAATTCAAAAGAAAATATGCTAGTTATGTGACAAAATGGGTAAAATCATGTGTACTATGCCAATTTTCTTAAGTATAAAGATGTTTTCTTTGACTTTTTGTATTTGAAGGATAGGCATGTCACAGGCATCCTATCAGAGTGATTGACAG